AATCAAGAATCCTGTATTATTTTTGTTGTTTTCGAATTGTATCGGGTCATCCGAATGAACAGGATTTAAAACTAACAATCTTGCAGAACTGTTACTGTCATTCAATGAAAGCCGTGTGTGCTCAACACACACAAGTACCGTAATAATACCAGTACCGTCATGAGGTTGAGTAGTGTATTTTTTTAACTGTGAAACATTGCCAGAAGTTGATGAAATGTTTGAGAGCTTGGTTCTTATAATCACAAATTGACGAAAGACATCTCCAGTCGATGACAACTTTGCGAAACTGGACCAAAGTGTGCATATAGAAAACTTCCCCGCAAACGCAGATCTGTACGAAGATCATGAGGTATTAGATGAAGACTAATTTTTTTATTTCAAGTAAGACTGGCGACTTCCAACACGAACATAAATCTCCATCATTTTACGATATTTTAAATTGGCTGACGAATTCCGGCAATCTGATACTTACAAAGAACATGAATTTGGTAAAAACTCAAGATGTCAAAAATTATTATTACGACGAAAAATTGTACAAGTAATTTTAGTAGGATATCAGCAACGTCCAAACTCATGTGAGAGGATCTATTGCGCCATACCACTGCTCACACAAGTTTAGACGAAGAAAAAAATATGGGTTGCAAGCAGGGATGGCCAATTCGAATATAGTATTCGAATATCTCATCATTCGAATATCGGAATTCACGTTCATAAGAATATCGGATATTTGTGTGACGTCACACATTTTCGACGCCGCTTTCAAGACGTTTCCGCTGAATGAAAACATTCTCGATAGAAACTTGCGCGTGATCGTTTTTATCACTCATCAACGTAACGTGTTATTTAGGCCCGTAAACGCCTTTATGATTGTGTTATTTTGTCTAAAACGAAAATTTTCCACAAATTTGTTCCACGATAACGATAACATTTATTTTATTTTTGTACGCGCACGGAATTGTGAATCTGGTAAATACGTTTATCGGCGGCGAGTTTCTAAAGACAACGCAACTTTTTGATTGAAAAGCGGCAATTTAAAATACTGAAAATAAAACCGTAAACAACATAAGTTTTATTGAGGCCCGCGAAAATTTAAAAAACGCTTTTCTAGGCAGTGAAAATCGCAAAATTTCGTGTGCCTCTGGCACACATTATGTTTGGTCGGCGTTTAGAAACATATCGTTACTAATTGAGGGCGGGATTTGCCTGATTATCCATTACTTTAAATTGCCGTCGAATATTTTCGGGTTAACACCATACAAGGTTTGAAACGCGACTTTTTTCCTGGTTTCCCTGGTGAGGATGTATATAATTAATCTAAAGTATATTCAATCAATTTTATTGTGATGAAATAAATTTTACTCCGAGATATTTTACTCAAAGCATTTCGATCGAGCGGAGTCACTGTTAACAAGTACATCTAAATATTTGCCGAATTCGCGAAATACGGACAAAAACAATATTTAATCGGACAGTTTACCTCACGTTTTTATTTTTATGGCAGCGGATTGCAACGGTATATAAGAGTGGTGAGGATTTTATTTTGTCGACGCAACCGCAGGTTAAATTGAAGACAATTAAATTAATAAGAGCAAGACATTTTAAATATGTCCGTGTCGGTCACGAATTCATCACTTTGCACAACAGAAAAATATATATTCGTTGTTATCTTATTTGTTGTAAAAGTCGACTCTTTTAACAGGTGGCATAATCGCGGCGATGAATATGTATTTTTAATTTACTGCTAAACTTTATATGTATATTCATTGTATGAAATGAATTATTCTCTACACTTAACAGGATTTTATATAATTATTTGAGATTTTTCTAACGGCGATAACGAGTTGGCAAGATTGCAAAATTACATATTAAAATTAAATACATCAAGCAGTTTATCTCGTAATTTTAGGTCACAGATTGCCGTGGACCGAATAGTAATGTTTTTTTTTGACGTAAGAAGAAGCAACCGCGAGTTATGTTGGACACATTAAATTAATATATAAAGATATTTTAGAATCTCGTAGTTGTCATGGATTGAATATTTTACGTAACAGAATGATCATTATACTCTGACAAGACGGCTCTTTTAACGAGCGCGGAGTCGCGGTGGGTGTTACAGGCGGCAATGAGAATTTCCGATTTTGAAAATCCTGACTGCGCGCTGTCAGTGGTGGTCATCTATTCTCTACTAATTTATTTTTAACTCCAAACACAACAATATGTTACACATAATAACAATATGGTTCACATAAATTTATATACAAATATACTGGTAGGTAGTAGAATACTCTAGGCTTAAATATTAGAATTTTTAAAGGCATAATGGATTTTCGATTGTTGTTGCCTGTATTGCCAATAAATTTTATTACTCTCAGAAAATACACACAATTATCTGAATACAAGTAGTATTTTTGTCAATAGACTCGACTATTATCGTAATATCATGGTACCAATGATAGAAAGCGTCAGACAACTCCTTGGCTATCTTTTCATATGGTCATTTGTACAAAGTGAATAATTTTAATAAACTGACTGTGTCACAAGTTGCTTTTATTTTTTATTAATAGCTATAAACTATCAATTACTCTGTGTACATATACTGTTGGTCTGTGGCTTCATTCTGATATTTCTATTGAAGCTTATTTCCTAATTTACTAAAACAAAAATGTTATTTTCGATTTTAGAATGTATTCGGAATTCCAGATTCGAAAACATTATTTTAGAATGTATTCGGAATAGTTTAGTATTCGGAAATGGCCATCCCTGGTGCAAGCAACTTTCAGAAAAACAGTTACAAGATATTCTCGAGCACAAAGGATACAATCAAATTGTCAAAACTAGTATTTGCTTAACCCCAACAGAAAGGAATCGCCAGAGACACCTATGGTTGAAAAGAACGAGACAAGGGATACTACACCCTAATATCTCCGAATAAAAATAGAATAGAAGAGACAGCTTCAGAAATTCGAGAAATTTCTCACTCACCATTCCATAACACTCACAACAAGTTGTACGATTTTTTCCCACTGTTTACATCGTACATTGAATTTTTAGGGAACACTCTCCTCTTGGTGTGAATTTTCATATGTTTATTCAAGTTCCAAGAATGTAAAAAACATTTGCCACATATCTCACAAGAGTATGGCTTATCACCTGAATGGATTTTCATATGTGTGTTCAAATGGGTTGATTGTGAAAAGCATTTGCCACAAGTTTCACAAGAATATGGCATTTCTCCTGTATGAATTCTTCTATGCGCATTCAGACTACTGAAACTTATGAAAAAACTTTCACATGAATGGATTCGCATGTATGTCTGTTTAAATTACTTGATTGTAAAAAACATTTGCCACAAGCATTACAAGAATATGGCTTCTCTTCTGTATAAATTCTCCTATGTACATTCAAATTACTGGAACTTGTGAAGCATTTACCGCATATTTTACAGGAGTATGATTTTCCCACTGTATGACTTCGCATATGACTTTTCACATTATCAGCATTAAACATCTTCAAATTACTTGCTGTTTTAAAGTCTTTTCCACATATTTCACAAAATAATTGCTTTTCTTTTGACATATCAGACGCTCATTCAGTTTAAGAGATATTTAATCAGTCAACTATCGCATGTAATAAGATACTCTGGACTAAATTTGAACAATCAATAAAATCTGGTAATGAAATATTCTCTGGTCTGAGATACCAACAAAATCAATATTAATATACAAGCTTATTCTAACAAATTGTCTTGAGATTCAGAAATAAAGTTGGAACTTTTAGAATTTTGGTGAGCCGGCAAATAAAAAAGGAAGATACCAACTATCTAATACTAGGAATATATAAACATATATCACTTGCTTAAATAAACAGTTACTCCCATGCACCTGCAAAAACAAACTGGTAAAATGACTATCTTTATATCTAAATTGGACTGGCGTGATCAGACAGTTTTATCGGCATCTCATTTAAACCAGGTATGCTAAAAATTAATCTTCAATAAACATATCATATTTTCTCAGAATATTCACAACGGGAATGGATTCATGCCATCGAAAGTTCAAAATATATTCAGCCAGCCTGCAAAATACGACCCATTCTTAGATTCTAGATGACGGCAATTTAAACATGAAGTTACGCTGCCATAGCAAAACCTACCAACCCCCTTTACCATATTCTGTGATATCTATAACTACCGCATAAACCATAAATCTTAATAGACTCACTTTTACAATTTACAATAGTGTTTTGGTCGCAGCGTACAGTATTATAACAACACGTATATGATTACAACTGACACTAACAGAACAATACCGGTATTCCACCGTACTCATTAACGTTGAAGTGGGTGGCCAAGTACTCCTGTACTCACTGAATTTTGCATTTTGGCTCTCAAAGTTTTTTTATATGATTACATTGATCAATATATTTTCTTCCTTGCTCTGTTCCATATTTCTGTTCATCCAAAAAGCGGTTCTTATTCACTTCAATGTTGTTTATTCATACAATATTGTGTTGAAAATATTCATGCGAAACGTAAGCACTCGTTCTTCCGCCTACATAACTAAAATTATACACAAAATGGGTCAGGGTCAATGTTACTAGTCAGTACTGTATCTGTTAAATGTAGACCGATATATTTAGCTTTTTATCCGTTGCAGAATATTTCAAAACTAAAATACGAATGTTGAAATATTTTTTTGGGTGGCGGGATCATTGTGTACTTTGTTTCTTTAACTCTGACCCATGATCTGATCTGTTTTATCTATTTATCAGCAAACCTAGCTCAACTGATTTGACTAAAACAAATTAATGTTACTATTCACAGTTTCACAACGCAAATATATTCAAGAGTCCTTGGTGAACGAGCCTAACCTATGCAAAAGGTTAAAGCTCGAATTATGAAGAATTTGCTAAGAAGTAAATAGTATGCAAAAATACAAGAGTGCATTCGCAGAGCTAATAGTGCTATTGTTGCCCCGGACGACATGATAGATGCAAGCCAATTAGAATGAAAAAAGTTTAATCACCATTTAGAAAAATCGTTTCAGGAATTTCAGATTTGGGCAAGAAAATTGCAAAATATACACACTATACACTGTCACATGGATAAAGAAAACAATTTTAAGATTTTTTTTATTTTATATTGACAAGAAAAGTGGAAAACATCATTCACATAGATCAAACTTGCGATGACAAGCCTGGCTCTCCTAAAACGTGGTCGAAAGTACTGACTTCTGTATGTGTTTACAAAATCTGGAACAATGGTTCTCATACTTTAAATCGACCCCTTCTTAGAATTTATAAAGTCTCACTCCAAATCCACAAAAAAAAATGCTAACAATGAGCTACAAATAACATATTCAATGCAAAAGTATGTTTTATTTAAGAAACAGGTTGAAAATATTCAAAATAAGGCGGGCAAGATCAAATATTTACCGACCTCTCACAATTTTTTTTACGAACGCCTTATGGGGCGCACCCACCGATTAAAAACGACTGCTCTAGAATGACTTTATTAATGTCTTGCCATTTCACCCACCACTCCATATCACTCGGCACAAGTTTCCCCATTGTTTACATCGAAAATAAACTTTCATATTATTTTTTTTGTGGAATACTCTTCACTCACATGTTTTGCAGCAGTAAGGTTTTATCCAATGTGAATTTTCATATGCTCATTCAAGTTGCTAGATTGTGAAAAACATTTGCCACATATCTCACAGGAGTATGGTTTATCACCTGAATGGATTCGCAAGTGTCTGTTCAAATGACTTGCTCGTAAAAAAAACATTTTCCACAAGTTTCACAAGAATGGCCTCTCATCAGTATGCATTCTTCTGAAATGTCGATCCAGACCAGCTGTTTGTGTAAAACATCTGCCACATAATTTACAGGAATATGGCTTCTCTCCTGTATGAATTCGAATATGGGCATTCAGAGTGCTGGATCTTGCAAAACATCTACCGCATATTTTACAAGAATATGGTTTCTCTCCTGTATGAATTCTCATATGCAAATTCAGAGTACTAAAACGTGTGAAGCATGTGCCACATATTTTACAGGAATGTGGCTTCTCTCCTGTATGAATTCGAATATGGGCATTTAGAGTGCTGGATCTTGCAAAACATCTACCGCATATTTTACAAGAATATGGTTTCTCTCCTGTATGAATTCTCATATGCAAATTCAGATTACTAAAATGTGTGAAGCATGTGCTGCATATTTTACAGGAATGTGGTTTTCCTTCTGTATGAATATGACGTTTCAAATCACTTGGCTGTGGAAAACATTTTCCACATATCTCACAGGAGAATGGCCTCTCATCAGTATGCATTCTTCTGAAATGTTGATCCAGACCAGCTCTTTGTTTAAAACATCTGCCACATAATTTACAGGAATATGGCTTCTCTCCTGTATGGATTCGGATATGGGCATTCAGAGTGCTTGATCTTGCAAAACATCTACCGCATATTTTACAAGAATATGGTTTCTCTCCTGTATGAATTCTTATATGCAAATTCAGATTACTAAAATGTGTGAAGCATGTGCCGCATATTTTACAGGAATGTGGTTTTTCTTCTGTATGAATTTGTATATGACGTTCCAAATCACTGTTTTGCGAACAACATTTCCCGCATATTTTACAGGAATATGGTTTTTCCCCGGTATGAATATGCATATGACGCTTCAAATCACTAGGCCGTGGGAAACATTTTCCACATATCTCACAGGAGAATGGCCTCTCATCAGTATGCATTCTTCTGAAATGTCGATCCAGACCAGCTGATTGCATAAAACATCTGTCACATAATTTACGGGAATATGCCTTCTCTCCTGTATGAATTCGGATATGGGCATTCAGAGTGCTGGATCTTGCAAAACATCTACCGCATATTTTACAAGAATATGGTTTCTCTCCTGTATGAATTCTCATATGCAAATTCAGATTACTAAAACGTGTGAAGCATGTGCCGCATATTTTACAGGAATGTGGTTTTTCTTCTGTATGAATTTGTATATGACGTTTCAAATCACTTGCAGTTTTAAACTTTTTTCCACATAATAATTGCTTTTCTTTTGACATTCCAGACTGTCATTCAGTTAAATCGAGAGATATTTAATCTGTGAACTATAGCAATCTAATAATGTGGTATAGTAAAATATTTTGAACTACATTTGAAAATTCAAAGAAGAATGATCAAAAGAAAATCTGGTGATGAAATGGTATATAATTTTGTGAATAAAGCCCAGACATCCAAAAACTGTGGAAAAAATTAATAACTGAACTGAGATACCAAAAAATCAATAACAATATACAGGTTTATTCTAATAACTTGATATTCGGGAATAAAAATAAGTTCAGAACTTTTAGAATTTCATTGAGCTGGGAAATAAAGAGAAAACACTACTGAAGTTCGAAGACAACAGTTTATACTAGGAATATATAAACATATATCACTGCTTGATTAAAGTCCCTATCAATTATTTGCATGCACCTGCAACAAAAACAGGTAAAATGTCCATCTCCTTATCCAACTTGCATGATCAGATCGCGTAATTGGCTCTCTTCCTTCCGGGTATAGCGTATAGGTATGTAAAATTCCATCATAACCGTGTAACGCCGAGAAATAAATTTTTAATCAACGAATCAGATTCCCAACGCCAGATGCAATCTTGTGCCAAAGGGGGATGAAACTACCCTAGAAAGCCACGCCCACATTAATAAAAAGAAGAAAGTTATTAGCGTTGCGAGTTTCTGCAGCTTCACGCTCCATTGCGGTCACTTGATTTGCTCGGGGACTGGTGATGACGGTGGTATGTGTACAAAATATCTCGCTGTATATTCTCAGCTCAGCAGCCTATGGTATTTCATTAGGTTGGTTCAGTACTTTAATGTGGATAAAATATCAAATTCCGGTTGTCCATCTTAAGCTCTGTCTCTATAGTTTAATCCAAGATAGATTCGATTTACCGTTGGCTTCAACTAGTAGTTTCCTCCTCAAGACAACGTAGGCACAGCAGGTGACTTGGCGTTCAATGAAACACCTCAATACTGCAATATTCTACCCGATTATCGTAACCTAGGCTACTTTATTTCTTATGTTCTGTGAGTCCGGTACTGGGTTATGATCTTTTTAGTTACATACCCCTAGTCTATAGGAGATATAATTCTACTATTATAACTCACGACTAACATACCAGCACTATAGTACTGTATTCACCAAACTCTAAAAGTCAGAAAATTCCGATTCCTTTTTTCAAAGTCAACTCGTTTTTTCTTTTAGGCTACTTTTTTTAGAGTTGCATAATTTCTATTATAGGCTATTTATTTACATTTACCTCACTCATCAACATAAGTAATCGATGTTGCTTCCACAATGCGATAGTGTCAGTGGATCTTGCACCCTGTTTTTGGCACCATCCAAGCGATTTTGTTCCGGTTAAAAAGTTATATGGGCAGACAAAATTGAAAAAAATGTGATTGGTCTGCAGGCTGACCCTGATATTAAACACCTGTATTTATGTGACGAATAAAATTCGTGAAGGGCACTTGGAAGAAATGACATTCAAAAAAGTGACTTTAAGATTTTAATTTTATAATAAAAGAGAGGAATATCCAACAAAGCCTCACAGTTGCGTCCTAAAATTGGTGCAATACCCAAGATGAACGACAACTTTGAATAGATCTTCTCCAAAAAAGAGGAAAGTAGCTGAAAAAATATGTCATAAAAATTGAAGATTCAAGACTTGAAAAAAAGCGCATCAACTTATTCACCCTCCAACTGCAGAACTGGAAACACCAGGATTTAGAAGACAATATTCAATTTTTTTCTCAAGCCCTAATCAGCTGCAGAGCATTATTTAGAGATGGAAATAAGTGCAATTTATCATGGTTGGACTAGTGTAACATCGGAAGTCCTGAATAATATTGATGTAAAAGACACGACTTAATCAAATATCCTGCATATTATTTATACATCGATCATTTGTGAGGGGGTAACTGGCAGCAGCAATTCCAGTTCTACAACAAGTCATCATTTTGAAGTGTCCTTTTCGAGATCTAATTCAAAAAATTCAAACAAGGGCTTCCACAGCTTAGATTGCTTGCTTTAAGGTATTACATATTTTTCTAACCATCTGTTTCAAGAATTCACAATGTTCACCACCGGTACTGGGTTATGATCTTTTTAGTTACATACCCCTAGTCTATAGGAGATATAATTCTACTATTATAACTCACGACTAACATACCAGCACTATAGTACTGTATTCACCAAACTCTAAAAGTCAGAAAATTCCGATTCCTTTTTTCAAAGTCAACTCGTTTTTTCTTTTAGGCTACTTTTTTTAGAGTTGCATAATTTCTATTATAGGCTATTTATTTACATTTACCTCACTCATCAACATAAGTAATCGATGTTGCGTTCCACAATGCGATAGTGTCAGTGGATCTTGCACCCTGTTTTTGGCACCATCCAAGCGATTTTGTTCCGGTTAAAAAGTTATATGGGCAGACAAAATTGAAAAAAATGTGATTGGTCTGCAGGCTGATCCTGATATTAAACACCTGTATTTATGTGACGAATAAAATTCGTGAAGGGCACTTGGAAGAAATGACATTCAAAAAAGTGACTTCAAGATTTTAATTTTATAATAAAAGAGAGGAATATCCAACAAAGCCACACAGTCGCGTCCTAAAATTGGTGCAATACCCAAGATGAATGCTAACTTTGAATAGATCTTCTCCAAAAAAGAGGAAAGTAGCTGAAAAAATATGTCATAAAAATTGAAGATTCAAGACTTGAAAAAAAGCGCATTAACTTATTCACCCTCCAACTGCAGAACTGGAAACACCAGGATTTAGAAGACAATATTCAATTTTTTTCTCAAGCCCTAATCAGCTGCAGAGCATTGATTCAGAGTTGGAGATAAGTGCAATTTATCATGGTTGGACTAGTGTAACATCGGAAGTCCTGAATAATATTGATGTAAAAGACACGACTTAATCAAATATCCTGCATATTATTTATACATCGATCATTTGTGAGGGGGCAACTGGCAGCAGCAATTCCAGTTCTACAATAAGTCAACATTTTGAAGTGTCCTTTTCGAGATCTAATTCAAACAAGGGCTTCCACAGCTTAGATTGCTTGCTTTAAGGTATTACATATTTTTCTAATCATCTGTTTCAAGAATTCACAATGTTCACCACTGGTGTTGACATCATCATGTTATTACCGGGAAAATTTTTTCACTCAAAAAGTACATAAATCAGTAACTTCAGCTCATTCGTCTGAGTGTAGTACTGTCTATTTATTTATGTCAAATGACTTAACAACACTGCTATATGGGCACCTTCTTCAAGCAATGAGAAGAAAGTCTCTTATCATTCTTATCTCATCATTTAGATCACTAAATTGTGAAATATTTATTTCTTCTGGGAAAAGATGCAAACAGTGTTTTATAGATTTTCTTTGTTTTACTTTTATTACGAGCTCGGGGACTGATAGCCAAGTGAATATACATACACCTGTCCATAGGTTTCAGTTCCATTACATAAATTGATGTAAAGTAAGCAAACAAAATTAGTTGAGGAGTGCACAAATTTATAATTGTACAATTATTATTATTAAACAAACTTTAATGTGCAAAATTGAGACAAATCTGGTAAGTTGTGTGTAATTTGGTTCAAAACCTGGCATAACTTAGTCCAGGGCTTCCCAAACTTTTGAGCTCGCGGCCCCTTTTAATATATTAAAAATTTTCGCGGCCCTTGTCCACGTTAAATAATGCCAAACAGTTCGGATTATGCATTTTTGATGTTTTATTGGCACAGCTAATTCTCAACTTTAACATGTCTACTCAATAACAAAAACAAGCACATATTTATTCAGATTAGCGTTTCTCAATTATTCAGTGTAATGGGTACGAATGCTTTTTTCTGCATAGCAAGGCTCAATGTATGTTTATACAGGCATAAATGATGAATTACGATGTCTGGCTACCGACGGCATGGCCCTTATCTCGAATTGTTCTTTTTTATTGATCAAACTTGGCATAAGGCAGCATTTTGTGCGACGCCAAATTATCAAGGGAAAAACTCATGGCGCACCTACACGAAAAATATACTGCCTCGAAACAAAACACAATTTTGTCATCGTTAATATGTACCAAATGTCTTTTGAGGTTTTTAATCATACAGGCCCAGGAATAAAGGCAAAAATTTAACGTTCCTTTTTTTTTTATTTGCCTGGTTTTTCTTTAAAATGCAATTTTTAAAGAAATCACTCAAGTTTGATGAACTCGGTTCGGCAAATGAATAGACTGCAGTCTATACGAAATTGCAGCATGTCGGGTTTATCTCTTATATTACGTAACAATAGATCCTACGTACAGAAAGTAAACACATAGAACGGCAAAATGACTTTGATTCATAAACCCGTCATTTGAAACATTTAGAATAAATATGATATGTAATATATTTTGAGGCGCACTCAGCAAGTCGTCTTCGGAAACCGCTAGCTTAACGATTAAAGCCGTCATTGTTATGCAAACCGCAAATCGGATTTCACGATCAGAATATGCATTGTTATGCAAGCGCCATCATTCTACCGTGTTTCCCCGAAGATAAGACCAAGCCTGAATTTTAAAACGGATTTCAATATGAGCGCTCGCCTTTAAAAAAGACTTAGTCGATAGCGCAACTTTTTTTTTTTTGACTCAATCTTGTGGAAGTACATCGTTTCAATTTTGCTAGGACATCGCAAAATTTCGTGATTCGTGAACCTTTCAAACAACCCATATCTTCTACTTTCACTGGAAAAAAGAAAGATTAAATCGATCTTTCCTGTGATGTTGCTATAATAAGAAAGTTTAGTTCTGAAAATTCGGGATCTGTAGATAAAGATTATTTGTCCTTGGTTCAAAAAGCGTTGCGCACTCCCATCTTCTTTGCGATTTCGTATTTTTATAAATTAGGCTTTTCTACCAAGGCCCATTAATTGCGATTTCACCGACTGTCGTTAAGTTTTGTTCATTCGTTTTATAAAACTCATTGCGAAAAAGATCTTTTATTAGAAGCTATCAATACGTATTTTCACGGGTCGCAACTTGAGCATATTTTTGAAGGGCGTCACAATACGATGAAGTTCGAGAACCACTGTGTCCCAGTCGATAGCAAGAAATATTTTATACTTTTTTAAATGGTTGATAGTCTATATGTAGCAGTTATTTTAAATAAAAACGTGCTATTTATAAGTAAACGGAAATCGGTATTCATATTTTGTATAATGAAAAAGCTCATTATTCTCTATCCCCAAAATAAGCCCTAGTGTTATTTTCGAAAGAAAATTGAAGACAGTGTCTTATTTTCGGAAAAACACGGTATTATGATGATGTATTCACTCGAAATCGTAAAATCTTTGTTATAAACTATTTGTATAATAATTGTATTTTGAACCAAGAGTCTGAAAAAAGTACAATATATATTTTATATGGTACTTTGTGTAAAATTGGTGTTCTCCTTGCGGCCCCTAAAATTCGTTTCCTAGTGTGGCCCCTAGTGTGGAAAGCCCTGACTTAGTCAATTCAAGGCAATATTTGAAGATAAACCTATCTACCTTTTCAGTCAGAAAAAATATTGTCTACGATTCAAAAATATAATGATGGTTGGCTTTGTTGACTTGGGAGAGTCGAGAAAAGC